GTTCCTTCATTCAGAAAATAGGGAAGGAGAACTGTCTCCATGCCAGACACTCTTCTAAGTACAGGGCCCCAGCACTGGGCAAAGCCAAACCTCCCCTCTCAGAGATTACATCCCAGTGGGAAGACACAGTAAGGAAATCTACATCAGTGATAATACTGCTGTGAAGGAGATAAAGTAGGGTGGGTAGAGTGAGAGGAGGGGCTGCTCAGGGGAAGCAAGCCCTTGGATGTGACATTTTGTCAAGGCCTAAGTGAAGAAAGGAGCTTATCCAAGCAGGTACCTGAGGGAAGAGCCTACCAGACAGAAGCAAGAAAAATGACAAACTGAGGAGGGGCATGCCCTGGGGCTAAGTCTAGCCATGTAGATAAGGCAAAGGAGCACAGTCTGGAGACAGTGTTGAGGCTGCAGAGGGAGTTGGGAGCCACATCGCGTAAGACCGTACGAGGTATCTCTATGTTATACTCTCAGTCACATGGTTACGCTTCAGTGTTCTGTAAACATTTTTTGAATGAACGAATGATTGCTTTGAAACTTACTTAGGTTGACTGTGTCCTACAAATGACATTTCTTGGCTATTTATCTCCCCTCCAAGCTCCAAAGGTTTGGGCTGATTTTTCATAATTTGGGAGTAAGGCCTATGTTGTGACTGGTTCTTCTCCAGAGAACTAGGTTTTCCACCTGCCTAACAGGCTGCAAGCTCAGAAAGCCTACTTCGTGTTCTGAGAAGTGTCCTTGATAGGGTGGACTCTTATTTCATCACATGATTTGTCTCTAATGGAGTTTATATTAATGAGTAGACTTCACCACCTCCCCATTCTCCTACCCTCCCCCAGCCCTGGGAAAGTCTCCCAAGAGGACTGACTGGCTGTCCCTTGTCAGGGGCCTGACAGGAACTGGAATGCACAGCTCACATGAGTGACGAAGGGAGATATCCTGAAGCCTCAACACTCCCACTTCCTGGTTCTGGCAAATCACTTTACTTCTGTGAACAAGAACCCCTCACTGCCTGGCCCACCTTATGACCTCAACTGACCCAGCTTAGGCCTCAGAAATTCAAGTGGACAGCACCAAAGGACTGAGTGCCAAACCTGAACAGCAACTTAAACCAGATGTGGGTGTTTCCTTCTACATCCAGTAAATCCAAAGATTGCTGGCCAGTGGTTGATGTAGCAGGCTTTGGCTTGCCTCAGAGACCTCAGGATGGGATTCTCATTCCTATGCTTGCAACACGACTGCTGGTGATCCAGCAATCATCTCTGTATTCCTAATTAGAAGAATGAAAGGGACAAAGGGCAAATTGACTTTTCTGGGAAGCCTGGAAAAACCATCTATGGATTATATCCCACGACTGCTCCAATCTACAGGGAGACATGGAAATGTCATATTTTTAGCTGTGTACATTGCTACTCTCCCTCAGCCCCCCCATACATAACTGGGGTTATACTGGTAAGACGTACAGAAGAATAAATATTGGATAGATCACAAGAAGAATCTACCACAATCCACCCTCTTGTGCTGCCCATCATCCATAAATTCTTTCTCGTATTCATGTACACTTGGTCCTTCCACTAAGGCATGTGCAAGATCTTTGGATGCACATCTCTGGATGTCCCCTTACAAATCTAGGTATGGTCCCAGTGGACCAAAGCACTACAAATTAAAAATCAAAGAGATTGTCCCCAGTATGCCCTATATGCCATGGTAGAAAGAAGAGAACCATAATAAAAACTCCTATCAAGAAAAGGTAATGACAGGGAACCAGCAGTTAGCGTAATAGCTATGTCGCTGGACTCCCACGTAGTCGACCGCGGTTCGTGTCCCGGACCCGGTGGCTTAAAACTCACGCCGGGTGCGTGTGCGTGCGTGCCCAAGATCCTGAGAGGAGAATAGAGGAGAAGGGATTGCGGCGTGACCATCCCCCCTGGGGGGTGATTTCTCGCTTTCTGTCTCTATGTCTCTCTCTGTCTGTCTGGCGAGCGCACGCGCCCTATAGTGAAAATCTCTCCAAAAAAAAAAAAAGAAAAAGTAATGACAGAAAGTACTCAGCAGTCATTGAACCATGAAAGTATTAAATACTTTAGAATAGAAATGATGATGCCTCTGTCTTAGCAATGGATTGCACTCCTTGGTTAAAACCAACCTGGATCAAATTTGTTTCATGCCTGGGAGAACCTCCTTTAAGCATTGTCCTCTACTACTCATTCTTCTGGAAGGTTTTTCCTGGTCTCTCATTCTCCTTAACTTCATCTCAGGAGAATGTTCAGGAGGATGAACTTCCTTAGAAATTCACAGCTTTTTTTTCTAATTTGCTAGAAGGTATATGCACCCACTGGAGAGAGAGACAGAGAAAGAGAGAAAGAAAGTGAGAAAGTACCCCCCCATTGGTGATGATCTTCCTCTATTCTCCTCTTGTTTATTCTCTTCTTGGAATTTTGGACATGGACATGCATTGGGCATGTTTTCTAAGCTGCCTGGTCCAGGATCAGAACTGTGCAGTTGGCCATGTGGAATCCAACCACTTTAACCACCATGCCACCTGGCTGGCCCAGAAATGCACAGCTTTTAAACTTCACAAGTTAGTTTGGATCTGGAGACTCTAGAATTGTTTTAAGAATGTGAGAGTCATAGAATGTTGAAGGTCAAGTGGGGCTTTCTATGGTAACAACTATTTCTCTCAAAACTCAGTTCACTGTGATTCTGACTTCATGCAAGTAACACATGGAACCAAAGGTCTTATCTGGACCATTTTTAGGGCCAAAGCTGCTTGTATTTTACTTTCTGATCACTGTATAATCGCTGGTCTACTAGCATTTAAAATACAGCTTACTGATGAGGAAATTTCTACACTAACATAGCTTACTACCGGGCAGAGGATGTATCTCTTGGGAAAGCAGTATTTCTCTCCATCTCTGCTCCCTGACTGTCCCACCCAAGTTAGAATTCATCTCTCTTCATGAACTTTGCTGCCAACAACTTTGACTCTTCCTACCATATTCTATGATGCTAGAGCCCTGGCCAGGAACTGACACATTTTGCAAAGTGCAGTGGGTGACATAATTATAACAAATGCTTTCAAACACATCACAAGGTCTCTAGCTTTTAGTCTATAGTCAGATTCATGGAGACAGAAAGTAGAACAGGAGTTGCTGGGGAGCCAGGCCAGGAGGAAAGAAAGAGGAGTTAGTGCTTAATGGGTACAGAGCTTGCCTTGGGAAAATAAAGTTCTGGAGGTAGAGGATGGTGATAGCTACACAACAATGCAAAGGCATTTACACCATTGAATCACACGCTTAAAAATGCTTGTGTTGTCAAGTTTAGGCTGTTGGTATTTTACCACACTAAAAAAAAAAAAAAATTTAAATAAAGATGACTATGTAGCCTCAGAAGAAAAAGAGGGCAAGGACAGACCTTGGAGCATACCTCCATGTAAAGGTAGACCGAAGAAAAGCCATCTTCACGGGAGGCAGAGAAGGGACAGGTCGAGAGAGAGAAGATCATTCAGCAGAGGGCAGCTCCTTCGAAGCCATGTAGACAAATACTGAACAGAGCCATCCCCCAAGTATCATGAGGATGGTAAGGGATCCACATCACAGCAACTACTTCATACAAGGGCTGATCCTTTGTATATTCGCTCCCTTCATGAGAGAAACTTGAGTTGGGAGTCTGATGAGAGAAAAGGTTAAGCTTGCATGAGGAGCCATGAGGGAGAAAAGAGGTGCCCCCTTCCATTCCTTTCTCCAATGCCATCTGCAGAGGGGTCCAAAGTGGTCCTGTCCATACGTCCTCAAGTCAAGGAATGGCGGCAAGGGCCCTGAGCTGACATCACCTGAGAGTAAGGGAAGTGAGTCATGCGGAGAGCCTTGACAGAGTCATGTGGCCAACGGTGGTAGAGCCGGTGACTGAGGTGACACATGCTGGGACCATTCCCCATTCCCACCCCAGCCCCTGGGGGAGGAGCTGTAACCTACAGATCTGAGGGGGTCTGGCAACTGTCCACCAGTCCCAGCCGGTGTCCCTAGTTTTCCCCACTGAGGCTCCTGGGCATAGAGGTGGAGCTATGGGCAGTGAGGACAGGGGCAGCAGGACTTGCTGCTGGGGTGACCAGTGGGCACCAGGGACTTCCAGGACAAAGAAGGGCTTAGCTTGCCAAGAGAGGGAGACTGGACTCCTCGTCTCAGCATGTGGGCACTTGCACACTGCACTTGGGGACACTCTGGCAAAGCTGTTTTCTATACCCTGAAGCAAAGCTAAGATGTTGGAAGCATGAGTCTTGAATGCCACAAGCTGGTGAAGCTGTGAGAAGGCCAGGTCCTAAGGAATGACGGCCAGTGAGGACAGGGAGACCACTACACAAACAAGTCTCACTTGGACATCCATCCCTACCCATGGAAGGAAAAGGAGATAGGGGGCTTGCATGAGAAGGGCGTGCAGGATGAGAGGGAGCATGAGCAGTGCATGTGTGTGTGTATATGTATGTGTGAGAGAGAGTGTGTGTGTGTATATGTGTATAAGAAAGCCCAAGAGAATGCTTTCTTTTTTTTTTTTTTTTTTTGGGGGGTTTTTTTGTTTAGCAGAGAGACAGAAAACGAGAAATCATCCCCCAGGGGATATGGCCACGTTGCAATCCCTTCTCCTCCATTCTCCTCTCAGGATCTTGGGCACACACGCACATGTGCCCACCGTAAGTTTAAGCCACCAGGTCTGGGACTCGAACCATGGTTGACTACATGGGAGTCCAGCGACATAGCCATTATGTCAACTGCTGGTCCCAAGAATGCTTGCTTTCTGCAAAGAAGCAGTTGGTAAAGGAGAGGTTGCTGGTGAGGGGAAAGGGTGGAGGTCCATGAGTGGGTGTGGGGCTGAGACCCAAGCATGGCTGGAGAGGCAGGGCCAGGAAGGACAGAGCCTGAGAAGAGTGAGGGCAGAGCAGCTCTCATGACCTCACAAAGCAGGCATGCCCAGCCCCAGGCCTCTAGAAACCCTGAGTCACTCCTGGCTAGGTTTCCTAGCAACTGGATGCAGGGGCCATGGCTCTTTTAACACCCCAGGGAGTGAAAGAAGTCTTCCAATTTCAGGTGAAGAAAGAGAGCATGTGACTTTGAAAAGGAAGTTAGCTTGGGTTGGTCGAATGGTGTGCTGCTTTCTGAAAGTGGCTTGTCGGTGGCCCTCTCCAGGTAGACACCGCCTTCACCTACCTGTGTCTGGTTGCATGACCTTGGAGGCAGCAACAGCACTGGGGGTAGAGTACCACGCCTGGGGCTCACCAGCTCCTGGAGCTTGCAGGCTAACCTGATAGGCAGAGCCTGCCTAGAGGGAAGGGAGAGTCTGGGTCTACTTCCATTGGAGCCTCAGGGCCCTCTGCACCGTCTGGAATTGTGTGCCAGTGTGTGTAGGGAGTGTGTGCTGTGGGGTGAGAGAGCTTATGTTGCTTGGCTGAGGAGGCTGCAGGAAAATGCTGCCTGGGTCAGGCAGAAGAGCAGCGGCGGTGGAGGAGTCCCTGAGAGCCAAGGATAGGGTTTGGGCTTCCCTCTGTCACCAAGTCTATCATCGGTCACCCCAGAGTCCCCCTAGCCAGAGCCTCCACTTGCCCCAGGGCAACAACACCTCCCTCTTTTTTCTTTTTTCTTTCTTTCTTTCTTTCTTTCTTTCTTTCTTTCTTTCTTTCTTTTTTTTTTTTTTTTTTTTTAGGTTTTTGACATAGGCAGTTATGTTTGTGTGTGTGAGAGAGAGAAAGAATGTGAGAAATCATCTCCCTGGCCGGGTAGGTGGTGGGGGTGGGGGGGTGCATGGCCACGCTACAGTCCTTTCTCCTCCATTCTGCTCTTGGGATTTGGGACACGTGCACACATGCACCCAGTATGATTTTCAAGCCACCAGGTCCAGGACTCAGACTGCAGTCAGCTATGTGGGAGTCTAGCACCTTAACCACTACGCCACCTGCTGGCTCCAAACAACACCCTTTCGTGCAAGGGTCCCCACATCACTACCTTTTCTCACCCTCTTTTAAGTGGCACTTGCTCTCCCTGCATCTGTTGGTGACCTGGAAGAATGTTTCTGGAAAGGTCAAGTGAACTTTCAAGTAAAATTAAGTCTTATTTCTAGATAAGAAAAAAAAAAAAAAGAGTACCCCAATCGGTCTTTGCCTTCTGGCCTTTCAGAGTGCCTAAATCTCTGCCAAATGATGGCTTGTTACTCCTTCTGCTACAGCATTAACTCCCCAAGCTTCTTCTCCATCAGTCACTTGCTCTTTAGTATGAATTTCATTATTAGATCAACATCTCTGGGGTAGCTGGTTGAGAGTACGCTCAGAGGGAAGTCAAATTCTGTTTGGGGGCCATAGTGGTCAGTGTGAGAACTCTAGAGAAAGTGCTAGAAAGCAGAGCCAGTGCCCCGGAAGGGAAGGGAAAGCTGTCTAGAAACCAGAGCCTAATTCCTCTCAGGTGTACTCACCTTCCCAGCTACTACTCTTCAAGGTCTGGAGAGCTGGATGGAGCCCCCAGTAGCATTCTGCCCAGGAAAGATGGCGTCTTGACTCCTCAACACCCTTCCACTCTCATACCCTGCCCTGCAGAAATCAAAAGGTCGGGAGCATCTGCGGAAGCTTCTGAACTGGGAGGAGTTTGATGACGTGAGAGACTCCCGCCGAAGCATCCTGCTGGACACCCTCTACGAGAGCATCGTCTTCGCAGTGGGCAAAGGCTTCCCGTGGGCGGAGGTGGCCCGAGTGGTCAAGTTCACAGATGAGTTGCTCAAGGAAACCAAAGGTACAGGGCATGCAGGGTGGGAGTCAGCGAGAGCGGGGAGCAAGCGGGACCCCTCTGCACTCAGTCCTCAGCCCAGGAGCCTTAGAGGAGCCAAGGTCCCTTCTTTCCTTCCTCTGACATTTAGCCAGGAGGAATGGGGTCCCCATCCAGGCTTTCCGAACATACTTGCAGAGTCTCTTCACTGCTCTGCCCAGCTGCAAACCTTGCACAGCTGCTAGGTGTTCACACAGCAGCCAGGGAGTCTCGTGTGGTTTGGGGATTTTTATAAAGTTTAGTTCTTCCCAGAGACAGAGAGAGCCCCTGACAGGGTCTCGACGCCATGATCCCCCCCCCCCCCCCCCCCCCTCCCACAGCTAGCCCTGCGTCATGGGGAAGCTGGTATCTGGTATACTCAGGGGGGTCTCCAGACACAAACCTTGAAGCATCCCTTGTGGGTCAGCCTCTTAGAGCATTGTGTTTCACCCCTGCACCACCACCCAACCCCTTAGGTAACATCATTTTTAGAGCATAAAATAGTTTATCAAACCATAGATTATTAAACCAACCCCCAAATAATTTGCATTGAAGATACTCTGTATTTTTAAAGTGTAACCACACTAGAACACCTTTGATTATAATCTTTGTGTAAATTCCTATAAGCAGAAGTATTCAGCTGGGGAGGGGTGTGTGTCATACTTTTTATGACTTTCCGCAAGTAATACATCCCAAATTGGGCTCCAGCAAAGTGACATCAGTTTGCATTCTCACCAACAGTATCTCAGTAAGACTAATTTATTTCCTAATCAACTTAGTTATAACAGATAATCTTTATATCCTAGTTTAACAATTACTCTTAGAAAAAGCCCTTGGACTAGCAATTAAGGTGCTGGTTTCCCACATGGCTGACTGTGGTTCAAGTTCCAGACCTGCTGGTTTGCTTTCTCTCTTTCTCTCTGGTGAGCACATATGCCCTATAGCAAATTAAAAAATGATGACAACAACAAAATAATAAAATGAAATATTTCCAAAAGAAAAAGCCCTAAAAATCCCCAAACTCAAGCCTCCTACTGGACACTCCCTACTAGAATCAATATAAAGGTACATAAGTTGGCAAAAGGGCAGGTGCTCTCTGGCTTCTCCCCACACAGAGCTTCAACCTGCCCCTATCCTATCATCTTGAAATCACAGACTCTGCCATGGTCTGACCCCACGCCCCCCCCCCCCCCCGCCTACATTCAGTCAGCCCCTGGCCATGGGCAAGTGTGTGCCCACATACTCAGGGAGGTCTCCAGACCTGAACTGAGAACCTTCTCCTGTGGGATCGCCTTGCAGAGCATCATGTGTTACCAGTGAGCCACTCTCTAGCCTCTTGTTTTGTTTTTGCTTAACATAAATCAAATGTGTTACTTTCTTGCTTAAAACCCTTCATGGACTTCCTGTTGCAGGCCCAAAAGACTATTCTCAGTCCCAGTGTTTGCTTGATGTCTTGGGGAAATCCTTTATAGCATGAACGTGCTGACCCAGGGCAGTGGGGGGTGGGGGGTGTAGAGTCAGCTGACTGTATGGAGGTAGCATCTCTCCCACCCCTGCCCCATGCCAGGCTTTCATGGGAAAATGACCCTGAGATGCAAAGAGATAAGGCCACGTGTGTCATTTACTGGGCTGTGAAATGCAGGTCCGTTCTTTAATTAAACATACAGGGCAGCTTCTCTGAGACTGCCATCATAGTTGCGCGTACCCCAAGTATTTAGCACCCAGAATCCTCAGTGGGTGCTAAAACCAGTGTGTGAATTCTTGGCAAGAAATGGAAAATGCATGTGCTTTCTAAGACCCTCTCCCATAACATCCTTATTGGTGACAAAAGGAAAAAGGATATTCCAAGTAAATAAAAGACAGATACCTCCTTACTCAAATGATCCCAGTGGGTGAGACCACTCTCAGAGACCACAGTAAGAACCAGGTGTCCCCGGGGAGGATGCAGTGAGGAGCAGCCAGCATCCTTCTGTGCTGGCTCCAGCAGAGACTAAGAACGTGAATCTAATCAGGAGAAACGTCAAACTAGGAGCATTGCTCGAAGTCAGTTTCCTGCAAGCCTCCAACTCCAAGGCCATGGGGGCCCAGGAAAAGCTGAGGCACTGTTCCAAACTGAAGGAGACCAGGGGATGCGGCCACAGAAGGCGACGTGTGGCTCCGGGTAGGGTGTTTTTGCTATAAAGAAAGTCATTTGGAGAACTGCCTAAACAAGAGTGAGGTTCAGGGAACAGACAAAAACGATAGGCCGAGGGCGAGCCCCCAATTCTGATGGTCCTGGTTATGAGTGTTCTGAATTTCTTTTCCTTTTTCAGCCAGAGGGTATTTATTTATTTCGATTTTTTTTTGAAGGATAACATTTTTTAAAATAATGGGGCACATTGGAGGTCCTCCTCTGACCTCATGTCTACAGTCTCAACAGCTGCAATCACACAGGCTGCTCCATGCTCCAGTCCCAAGGCGTGGTGCTCCTGTCCCCAAAGCACAATGCCCCTGTCCCTTATGCACAGTTCCTGTGCCTCCACCCTGATGTACCTGGAGCTCGCTGCCTGGTCCTTCTGGCAACATCTCAATGTTCTCCCCAACTCTTACCATTTCTCACCATCCCTGTCTTAGCCCACTATCCTGTTGCTCAGAGAAATACACAAGACTGGGTGACTGAAAAGAATAGAGGTTTAAACTCATGCTGGGCACATGTGCGTGTGTGCGCAAAATCCCTAGAGGAGAAAGGGGCTGAATGAGAGATCGCTGAGACCAGTTTCCCATTTCCTGACCCCAGCCCCACCAGGGCCTTCCTGGCATCCCCCAGGGTCCTGCCTCCTCATTGCTCACAGCCACAGTGAGTACCAGAGTTCAGTCCCTTCATCTGAGCTCTGCAGCGACTCGCAGCCAGAGCAGACACTGACAAGCAGAAAGAATGTTCGCCCTAAGCAGGTGGGAACTCCGACTCTTTCAAGTTTCCATCAGAGTCTCCCACAGGCTGAGCCCATGAAAAACAGCCAATGATGATGCAAGCCCAACTTCGAACGGAGGAGGTTAGGTCGCCCTGGAGCTTTGAGCATTTCTGGGTGTAGCGTACCTTCCAACACAGCGTAGCTAGTCTCATGGGCTTCCCAATCTTTAGGGTTGGAAGGAGACCTGATATGCAGAAAATTCCTCTTCCTTTCCTGCAAGTAGCTCCCTACCAGGCCAGTGAGGTTCATCCTCCTCTGCTGTCACCTCCCGAGTGACAGGGAGCTCCCTCCTTCTCGGACAATTCACCCATCTGCATGACCACTCTTCTTACTTGGAAGCTCTTCTTTATGTCCTGAGGACACCTGCCTTAAGCACCCTATCCTGAGGCTGTCCTCCTGAACCCCTGTTTACTGCACTTCACATGATGCGAGTGCTTCATCTTCACATCTGGACTTGATATCCCCAATATCATTCGTCATCCTTGATATGGCCCGATTATGTCCATAGACCCCCCCACCCAACCTCCCATGCCTTCCTGCTGCCCTTCTCCAGGTCGCTTGTGTATCAGTGTACTTCTTACAATAGGGCATCCAGATATAAACCCAACAACCTGTGAGTTGGGATTTTATCACCTCCCCTGTCCTGGTCATATGCTCCTGTTGATGTATCCTCTAGGTGCCTTGACTTCATCAGGTACATTGCTTCACATTGGGCAGGCAGTCCACGAAAATCTCTAACCCTTTTCCCCACCCTGTTCTGGTGCAGTGGGATTTCAGATCCCCATGCAGCACTTCACAATCGTCCTCACTGATTCCATCTTGCTCATGTCAGCTCATTTTTCCTTCCTCCTGAGATCTTTTCCATCTTCATTCTGAACCTTCAGGCTTACCTGTTCCTCCTCTCACTTTTAATCATCTAAAACTGTCAAGTGTGGTTGGTACAAACACTGAGGAGGAACAAGCTCTTGAATGGGCTCCACAGGTCTGCACTTCAGCTTCTGCAAATAGGCCCTATTGTGAGAGACTCAGAGAAAAGAATCGAATCCCCGTCCAGCCCTTTACTGGATGTGCGGTCTTGGACGGGTCACGTCACATCTGAGCCTCTGTTTACACTTCCAGAAAATGGGGAAAACAGACACAATTCTTTCCTAGGATTGTTACAAAGATTTAATGAAGCTGTGTACTCAAAGTTCATAGCACAGTGCTTGGTGTCTAATAAGAGCACAGGGAGGGAGTGACAGCTTGTATTTTCCGAAGAGGGCACGGGGACAAAGCCTAGAGAGTGGAGTGAGCAGACTACGATTCACAGATGTGGTGTAGTCAGGTGTGACGTGCGCTGGCTCAGACCAAGTACACCGGTGTCGCAGCAGCCCTTGCAGGCATGAGGCCTGAGCGCCCCAGACACCGCACGAGGTCCTTTCTCCTCACCTGCCAGACTGTCCTAGTCCTGGTTGACCCTGCATTGCAGGGAGTGTGGCAGGGTGACAGGCTAGGAGAGGGGTCCTGGTGCTCCAGTCAGAGGCAGGTCCGGGTGGTAAAACAAGCTGCAGACTTGTCCTGGAAGTAGGGGTCTGGGGGGAGGGGTGAGAAGGAAGACAGATGAGACTGTCACAGTTATGCAGTAAGTGATGGAGGTGGGACTTGAACCCAGACCTGATTGCACCCCCCCTCCCTCTTGAGAGTGATGCTAGGCTGGCTTCAGGTTGGAGGCAATAAGCAGTGGGGTGCAGCAGGGGTACGCATGGGTGCAGAGCCACTCAAGAACCAGGATCCTGAAGCTGGGTCCCCCGATGGCATCCTCCTCAGCAGTATGTCTACACTGCTACCCAGGGACACTTGAGAGAGCGTGGGCAAGCTCAGCTCTCCCCCACAGGCAGGGGCTAGAATTCCAGCAGATGCCTCCTTCCCAGGGAGTCTCTTCCTCGCTCTGACAGCTCTCTCTCTCTGCAATCAACTCCAGTCTTGGGCTCAGCTCTCAGTGTTTCTGGAGCCTTAGTTCAAAACCTGGTTCTGCTATTTCCTAGCTGTGTGACGCTG